TTGTTACTTATAAATGTTATCAGAATTTTATATAAATAAAGTATTTTCAATAATTTTAATACATTATTTAATTTTAACTAATTAAATTTTAGTTTAATGCCATAAATTTTAGGTTTTTGAATTTGTTTTGTAATAAATTTTAATAATTATCCTTCAATAAATGGTTTTAATAAAATGACATCCACTCTTAATTTATAAATATTTAGTTAATTTATATTTCAAAAATCATATATAACATTTGTAAAGTAAATTATACTAAATGAGATATTTTTATAAATCTTATAGCATTGTAATTATTTATTAATAAAATAATAATAGGCCTTAAAATTTAACATAATTTTCACTCATTTTATAAATAATATGTATTGAATTTTATGTTTTTGAGTTTATTTAGCCCTATTAATAATTATTCTCAAATAAACAATTATAATATAATTATAAATAATTAGTATGATTAGCCATGTATAACAAACAAAATCAAATATTTGAAAAACTTGAAACGACGTCCAGAGAGAAACTACGAACCTCGGGAATTGATGTCACGCGAATAAACATAGCCGTCCACACTTGTGGTGCTAGCATTATTGCTTCACGGAGACATTGAAATCCGTGAACAGCTCTTTCCAGCATAGCTTGATTCTACAAACAAAATTACACCAAATTGTCCATCACCCTAACAAATTCAAGATGCTTTGGTTTATACGGATATTATTTGAATCAAATCTGTAGAGCTGAGTTGAACAAACCTCAGATATTGTCTGATGCTTCTCAACCGACGAGCACCCAAAAACTTCATCCAGCAGAACAATATCAACTGTTCAAATGACATAGTGAAGAAGAAAAACACGTACCCTTTGTTGAAGATTGTTGGGAGAGAAGTTCCACGTCGGCTAATTTAGGGGTTAATCATGAGTTTACAAGTAAGGAATATATATCCATTGGTACGAGGCCTTTTGGAAAAATCAAAAGCAAAACCACAAGAGCTTCTGCTCAGAGTCGATAATATCATACCATTGTGGAGAATCGAGGTTTCTAACATGGTATCAAAGTCATCCCCTCAACTTAGTTATGTCAATAGAATCATCCAATGTCGAACAATGAAGTTGTGAGCCTCGAAGGTATAGTCAAAAGTGACTAAAGCGTCAAACAAATCTGAGAGATAAGTAGACAATATCATATCACGGTGGAGAGTCAATTTCAAACCCCCTTCATCCTTTATTCGATATTTGAGGATTCTATTGATATGGCTAAGTGTAGGGCATGACTTTGATAACATATTAGGAATCACGACTCTCCATAATGGTATGATATTATCCACTTTGAGCATAAGCTCTCATAGCTTTGCTTTGGACTTCCCCAAAAGGCCTCATACCAATGGAGACAGTATTACTCACTTGTAAACCCATGATCTTCCACTAAATTAACTAATGTGAGACTCACTCCCAATAATCCTCAACAAGATATCTAAAGCATGTGCGCACCTCCATGCGTATATATGTCTTTCACTATTACACTCTTTCGCAAAGACAAAGTACTTGCTGCATGATAGAAAAACAAGACAAACAAGTTCGTCAAATATGAGCCTCCACTCACGAGTTTTGGTGAAACAAGTTCGTCAACGGATAAACATCTTGTCATCTCAGAGCTTGAATGTCTTGCAAATATCCCAATGATATGCATTTTGCAAAATCAGTGGCATGGCGTAAATCTGCAAAGGAAGCAGAAATGCAGAATTTAGAACTTGTAATTGAAGTGTAAGATAGTTATATCCTAACATATATGGTAAATGAAATGGAAATGATGGGGCAATCCCCGAGGCAGATAAGAATGAATTCATTTAACAGTTAACTGTGATCGATTGATTCACTTTCCTCCAACATATATTTGCACTTAGTAGCAATAACATTATAACGTTGAAAACCTCTACACAGATACAAGTTTTGCGGATGATTTATCCCAAGTTGACAACAAATCGGGCATCCTATTTCTTTCACTCCAAAGCTCGATAAATTGATTCAATCCCAAATAGAAAAATATTGATCTTAGTTCCATACATGGTTAAACAGTTAAGAGGATGTGAAAAAAGATAGCATAATCCAACATAAGTAGTTCGGTTAGATATAAGTTCAGTAAGTGAAAGAAAACACATTTGCAACCTTAAATCTATGATTCAAACGAAGCAACTAATCACATAGATATTTTGCAGCCAAAAGCATATAGCTGTAACTTAGCATTCAAGAACAAACAAAATCAGCACCACACTTCAACCAAAAACATCCCGATTGCCAATTCCACCCAATAAACGATAAATATTATGCCATTCCAAACAATCCTGTCGGCTTTGAGAATGCAGGCAGATATCTGAGGACGATCAATAAATCTGCATTCAAATTTTCAGTTAGGTCCCTATTTTCATTTCAATGAATGATTTATGGAACGAACATGAAATTTTCGATTGCAGATCCTAATTCTTAATTCACATTTCACGCCTCGTAATCTGCGGCTTTTTTTGTTTGTTTGGCGGTGTGGTGGGGGTAAAATATAGATCAAGATAATATTAGCTAGTCGAAATTTCCTCAAATTAGCTATTACTAGAAACTCGATTGGGAATAGAAGAACAACAGAAGTCCACAAAAGCTACCTTAACCGAAGTTGTTCTTTACCTGGTACAAGTCGGAAGGTCAAAATGTAGCTTCCGCAGATCTAATTAAAGAAAAACCAAAGGAAATACAATCAATCCAATCAAGAGAAGTATCAATTACCTGGTACAAGTCGGAAGGTCAAAATGTAGCTCCCGCAGATCTAATTAAAGAAAAACCAAAGGAAATACAATCAATCCAATCAAGAGAAGTATCAATTACCTGGTACAAGTCGGAAGGTCAAAATGTAGCTCCCGCAGATCTAATTAAAGAAAAACCAAAGGAAATACAATCAATCCAATCAAGAGAAGTATCAATTACCTGGTACAAGTCGGAAGGTCAAAATGTAGCTCCCGCAGATCTAATTAAAGAAAAACCAAAGGAAATACAATCAATCCAATCAAGAGAAGTATCAATTACCTGGTACAAGTCGGAAGGTCAAAATGTAGCTCCCGCAGATCTAATTAAAGAAAAACCAAAGGAAATACAATCAATCCAATCAAGAGAAGTATCAATTACCTGGTACAAGTCGGAAGGTCAAAATGTAGCTCCCGCAGATCTAATTAAAGAAAAACCAAAGGAAATACAATCAATCCAATCAAGAGAAGTATCAATTACCTGGTACAAGTCGGAAGGTCAAAATGTAGCTCCCGCAGATCTAATTAAAGAAAAACCAAAGGAAATACAATCAATCCAATCAAGAGAAGTATCAATTACCTGGTACAAGTCGGAAGGTCAAAATGTAGCTCCCGCAGATCTAATTAAAGAAAAACCAAAGGAAATACAATCAATCCAATCAAGAGAAGTATCAATTACCTGGTACAAGTCGGAAGGTCAAAATGTAGCTCCCGCAGATCTAATTAAAGAAAAACCAAAGGAAATACAATCAATCCAATCAAGAGAAGTATCAATTACCTGGTACAAGTCGGAAGGTCAAAATGTAGCTTCCGCAGATCTAATTAAAGAAAAACCAAAGGAAATACAATCAATCCAATCAAGAGAAGTATCAATTACCTGGTACAAGTCGGAAGGTCAAAATGTAGCTCCCGCAGATCTAATTAAAGAAAAACCAAAGGAAATACAATCAATCCAATCAAGAGAAGTATCAATTACCTGGTACAAGTCGGAAGGTCAAAATGTAGCTCCCGCAGATCTAATTAAAGAAAAACCAAAGGAAATACAATCAATCCAATCAAGAGAAGTATCGATTACCGAAAAAACAGTAGAATAGCGTGATTAACAGGAAAAGAAACAGAGAAAGAAACAGAGAAAGATCCTAAGATTTCTTAGGTCGCCGATAACGAAGTACGTTCTCTACTCTCTAGTGGAATTTTCGAGTGATTCTCACTTTCATACACCTCCTAAAAATCACCTGGCACACATCGCAGGAGCACAAAAGAATAAGAAAATGCAAGTAATAGTGGTGAAATGAAACAAGAAGGTACCTCAGTAGGCCGGAGTGACCAGGCGATGGCATTTGAAGCGCGCAACCACGTTCCTTATCTGCTAGTGATTCAAAAGAACAAGCAATGCAACAAGAGATCGTAGAATCCATCAACGATGCATCTTCTTCCACCATTGTTCGAATCTGTACCTGCAGAGAGTGGGAGAAGGAAGTGAGAAGGCGCGGGTGGTTTGCTGAAGAAATGAGAAAAACGCTACGTTTCGCGCCGCTTTTCTTTTCCTTCGTATCTGTTTAAAAATTGATTTTATTTTTTTATTCTACAAACTTTTAAAAATATTTCATATTTCATTTTATATATAATAAATCTCTCATAAATTCAATTTAATTGTCCAGTTGAAAATATAGTAAGCTTTTATTTTATTTTTCTTTTGTGATAATTGTTAGGTGAACATGAGTCTATAATTGTATGATATTGTCCACTTTTAAGTATAAGTGGAGGAAGGACATCACAATCCACACCCTTCAGAGCCCAGCGTCTTCGTTGACACTCTTTTCTTCCTCCAATCGATGTAGACCCCCTTTAGGGCCAGCGTTCTTACTGGCACACCCCTCGTGTGTACCTCCTTTGGAGAATAGGAAGAAGGCTGACACGTTGTTCGATGTCTGGCTCTAATACAATGTTAAATGAACAGAATTCTTCGCAACGATATAATATTGTCCACTTTAATCATAAGCTCTCAAGTTTTGCTTTAGGCTTTCCAGAATGTCTCATATCAGTAGAGAAAGTATTTTTTTATTATTATAAACACACGATGATTCCCTAAATCAGTCCTCTGAACTACCGTCTAACCATAATATTTAATTATTGAAGATTTAATTTCACTTAATTGGCTAATTAATTTCCCGTAAAAATATATTTTAAATTCAATATTCCCCCATTAATAAATATGCTTTCCGCCGCGACACGATCGCCCCCTAATCTTCCCTTCACCACCGGTAGGATTCTCTAGTTCGACCGAGTAGGGCTGTAAATTTTAAACCCTCGATTTAGGGTTTGTCTTGTTCATTCTTCAATCTCTTCATCTATCTTTCTCGGGTGAAAATGGCGAACGAGCAACAGTCATCTACAGGGCCCTGGATCCTCGAAGCAATGCCTTTCATCGTTGTTCTTCTCATAGCAGCTCATGTCTTTGCTTTGGTACTCTCTAACTCCGATTTTTGTTTCGTTTTTTTTGCATTGTATTCAAGCTCTGTACTCTGTTGTTTGCTCATTTCCTCTTGATTTCTGTAGGTATATTGGATTTATAAGTTGGCAGCCCAAAAACAACCTCCGAGGAGGAAGGCACACTGAGTTACTGTATGATTCGTTCCTGAAAGAAACTTCAGCGAAACCGAATTCGTTAATTATTGCGTATCTAATGTTGAGGAGGCGGTCACAAAAGCCATGTAACGATGTTTCTCTGTAAGTATCCTCAGTATGTACTCTCAGAATCTCAGTTTCGTATTGTAAGAATATGGAAATGTTTCTTACAAACCAAATTTGATTTGTATGGTTTTTCAATTCATAGAATTATAAGGCGATCCGTTGATATATCTGTAATCTTGTTTGGTTTTCATTATCTTGAAAAGCTGGCTTATTCGTTTATTAGCATGCTTCCATCACGATAGGTGAGGAATCACCAGGTCAAGAAATGATCGAATACATTTTATTCTGAGTCCATTATTGAAGAGTCTGTTTTCGGTACATATAAACTACAACTTTAACATTCGAAACTTTTTAAGGAAAAGATAAAAGAGTTGGGGAAAGTATCCTTGCTGTAGATTTCTCCATTAAGAGTAACTGGCTCTGCTCCTTGTTCCACGAAGAAATGGATTGCTGCTGCTTCTTGTGGAGTGAGAGCTCCATTAATTCCTAGCAGAATTAGTGAATAGTGACAAAACTTTTCTAACTAGGCAAATTTTGCTTGAACTCGTGCAGCACTTTTAATATCATTGTGTGAGATCCCACGTCGATTCGAGAGGAGAACGAAACATTCTTTATAAGAGTGTGGAAACCTCTCTCTAACAGACGTGTCTTAAAAACTTTGAGGAGAAGTTCGAAGGGAAAAGCTCAAAAAGGACAATATCTGCTAGCAGTGGACTTGGGTTATTACACGTTGTTTATTTCGTGCTTTTTATATATATTTATAAAAAGAATCTCCTAGTTTTGGTAATGGTTTTAGCTGGACTCTTGAACATACATTAGTGGAAGTACCTTTTTCCAGCTCATTTTCTGTTGAAGATGAATGGGCCATCAAATCAACTAATATAATGTCTAAAGTGTGTTTGTAGTAATTTGATGGTAAATCTTCATTGTTATTCAATCATCAAATGGCTTTATCAATGTCCAATAATGCATTTCACAACATGATCATGATGAAAATATGTTTGTCTCTCTTTTCCAATTTGTATTCTGTCCTTCTGTCAACAAAAAGAAGAAAATTACCCATTAGCTAGTTGCTGTCTTTTGTTCCCTTATTTGAAAGGCTTGTCACTTCCAAAGCACCATTTACCTCAAAAACACTAGCAAGTAGTAGTGAATGGTGAGTGGTGACTCACACTATGGCAGCAAATTAGAGCTTATTGCTTTCTCCATTACATGTAAAGTTCATACCTAACTGGTAGAAGAATCTTATTTGCATAGGAAAAGAAAGAAACTTTGTGCTCATTTTCTCACTTTTCCATGGCATCAATAGAAGCAATATGTGGTAAGAAATTGGATTTATAGAAATGTGGGAGTGGCTCTTTCTTACAAAGGGATTCTAGCTGTCTATCCAAGCAATCTTGTATGGTGACTTGTACTTTTTGCTTTTCCAGCTCAGGCAAATCCCAGGACTTGTAGCATCAATAGATGCTTTCTTCATGTTAGTCTTGTCCGGTTGGCGATTGTCGATTGCTATTGACCCACTATCGATTTACAGGTATATTACTGTGGTAATTTTTTTTGTTCTTCATTAGCCATCTGAATTCAAAGCACTTGATAAGATATTCCTGTAGTATAAGTAAGCCTATGCCATGTTCTTTTTCATTTCTTCAATGTTTTCCTTACTTGATTCGATCTTAGGAATATAGATGTCGGACTCCAACAATCTTACTCTCGAATAAAGTACCATTGAGTCTCTCCTTAGATAGTCATCTATCTGTCTGACACTATCTAGAAAACTTTTCTTTTTTTAGAGTATATCGCTAGTTCAATAGAGCTCTACCATGGGTCTTCACTATGACTACATCTTTGAGACTCACAACTTATTTGGTTAAGATACCATTTGTTAGGATCATCCACTTTGAGTATAAGTTCATTGTTTTACTATGGATCATACCACTAAAGATCGTGTTTCTTACTTAAACCAATGTGTTAAAGTTTTTTTTTTTCCCCCAAGTTTGTACTTGCTTATTGCAAAGATATGTCAGTATTAGTTTCTATTGCATATTCTTATTAATATGGTAAAAATTAGGGGTACGATCAGTTTGGCTCGAGTGGAGTTTAAGGTCCGATTTTAAGCCAAATGGATCGATTTCTAATGGAGTATTACTTCGAGGTATCCATGGTTCTCTGCTGAAGTTGATCGATTTAAAAAGTGGTTAGTTTGAACTGAATTAAATTCAAGTAACTACAAATCAAACTGAATCCCTTCTCCTTTTAATTAACACGTGAACAAATTGGATACTTTTTCTCTTCATCTCCGTTGGACTTTGTGCAAAGGATAGTTTAGCGGCTTCCTCTGGAAAGTCGGAAAAAGTAACGCGTTTGACTAGAATCTTTCCAGTACAGCCATAGACGCCAAACCCAACCTTCTCTCTAACCCTAAACATAACAAGAAAATATAAAATAAAAACTTTCCCATTTTTCTTCATAGTTTATATTATTATTTTTTACAAAAATATTTGAATTTATATATATATATAGATTTTAAATTAATAAAAATACTTGTGAACTTTACCTTTTATATAAAAAATTATAAATTTTCAGAAGTTTCAATAATACTCACCAAAAATACTCTAAAAAAAAGATAAAAAATAGTGAACTGTTTATACTTTGTTTTAAAAATACTCTAAAAAAAAGATTAAAAAATAGTTTTCAACTTTTAAAGTTGTTTCAAAAATAATTTTGAACTATCAAAAGTTTTAGTAATACATTAAAAAAACTTTAAAAAATATATTTAAAATTTTTAGAAATTTCAAGAATACTTCTAAATCTTTTTAATTTTTTTTAAAAATATTTAGAACTACATTAATTTTCAAAAGTACTCCTAAGTTTTCAAAAGTAACATTTAAAAATTTTGGAGATAATTTATCAATTTTCTCCCTATATTAACATTAATTTTTTTTTGAATTTTTTCTATAAAGGTAGAAAGTGTTAATGCTATTTTTAATTTTTTTTTTATAAATATAATCATAAGGATAAGAGTATTTTTAAACTTAGGGTATTAATCAAACTTTTTAAATTTTAATGGTATTTTTCAAACATTATTAAAAATTAAATAATATTTTTGAAATAGATTACTTTCATTGTAAAAATATTTTTGAGGCTTTTTTTTTTTTTAGTTTAAAAGTACCATTTAAACTTTTAATGGTATTTTTTTTAGATAAAATATAAAAATTATTGGTATTTTTATTAATTTAACCTCTCTATATAAAAAACATAAACATCTTTTGTTAATGGCAGACAATACATCTCAGTAACGAATTTGATATCGTAAAAACAACCCTAACAGAATACTAAATATAGCCTACATTTTTCCATTTTAGCTACAACATTCAATGTACAACTCAAACTATTCCCAATAAGTTTTTTTTTTTTTTTTTTTTAAATATATGTTTTTTTTTCCAAAATAAAAAATAAAAAAATTATATATTTTTAATTATTATTATGGAAATAAAAAATACACTTCTTTGCTAATCTCAAGGTTTGACCATCATTAATAAATCGATTCAAATTTAATGCAACCTCCCCATTTCTCCCCTCCCCCACCTAATAACAAATTTCATAAACCACCCACAATTTTTTACATTAATAAAATAATTTAATATAAAAAAATATTAAATTATCAATTTTTACAAAAAATTTAAATTATAATATATATTTTATGATAATTTTAATAAAATTTAAAATTTTAAAAAATTTAGGGTTTTTTCCCCCATAAAATTGATATAAAATTAATTTCCACAAATAACCCTGCTCTGGTTCGCAGACAGCTTTTAATTGCATCACGCCAAATATGATATCATACAAAGTACGGCTGCCCCACCATTACTCCGTGCACATGCGACCACGTGGACTCGTATTGACCCTTTGATCATCAGCTCTTTTGCTTTCTCCTCTCACCGTCGATCTAAATAGAGTCAAACGTGCTCTCCAATTTTTCTTTTCATTTTATTTTATTTTTTTTGCTTTTAAGAGATTTATTAGTTTTCTTTACGTTTAAAATAGTCCATTTAATCTTTAAAAATTTATATAATTTATATATAAAATTCACGTGCCATTAAACTATATTTTATTAAAATATTTAGACACGCGAACATTTACATGTCAAATAGAATTTATTGGAAATATTTAAGTTTTTTAAATATTTTAATAAAACCATAATTTAATAAATTATCAATTTATTATATAAATATATACTCGTGAATTTAAAGGGAGCCAAAAGAATTAATAGTTAATACTTAAAAAATATAAAAATTTGTAAGAAATGCCAAACAAATAAAATTATATTAATTAAATCAATTAAATCTACAAATCCTACATCAATAAATGAAGTAATTATGCAAATTAATTTCAACATTGCGTCATTAATGACTGTTATTGTCTTGCGCTTTTCCCACCCACGTGTCTCTATCACCACCGTCAATTTCTAGGCCGTCGAACTTCCGAATCTACCCCTATTAACTTGTCGAATTTACATCCAATACCATTAAACCCTAAAAAAATAAAATAAACAATAAAAAATAAAAAACAAAAAAGAGGAATAGTGGGTGATTTTCCAACGCATGGGCTCGATTAAGTGGGCCCCGACCAACTCATAAAGTGGACCATTATTGTCCTATCATGATTCTCTCATCCAACTAATATTTTTAAGTCAATTTCTTTGATTCTCAATACGTGGATTCTCTTAATTTTATTTAATTATTATTATTTTACTAATTTTGTTCATTAATTACATTTAATTAATCACCAATAAAAATAAAAAAAATAAAAGGATTATCATAAATAAAGATATTTAATTTAAATTTCATTTAAATAAAAGGATTATTTGTAATTAAATTGCATTTAAATAAGAGGATTATCGTAAATAAAGATATTTAATTTAATTGAATTTTGATAAGTCGGCAAATAAAATACTCAACACGGCGGATAATAATGATGGAAAGTATGGATGGCAATCATGTAATTAAATTGAAAATAAGGGGTCTTTAGTTATTTCCATTCTTGCCCCCATTTGGTTCGAAGGCATTTTACTTCCGATTCTCAGTCTCGGAGATAAAAGGAGAAGAGAGAGAGAGAGGGAAAAGAGTACTGGAAGGTAGGTGCGATGGTGGATTGGATTTCCGAGACGATCAACGGCGGATCCCTACGCCTTGTCGACCTTCAGACGGGGATAAATGGTTGGGCCTCGCCGCCGGGCGACCTCTTTGTTCTCCGTTCCAAGAACTACTTGGAAAAACGGCAAAAATCTCCGTCTGGCGATTACCTGCTTTCTCCCGCCGGTGTTGATTGGCTGAAATCTAGTACCAAGCTTGACAACGTCCTTGCTCGCCCTGACAATCGCGTCGCGCAAGCGTTGAGGAGAGCGCAAGGCGTAGGTAAGTCGATGAAGAGCTTCATTATTGCGGTTAATATTCAAGTACCTGGGAAGGATCAGTACAGTGCCGTGTTCTACTTTGCTACTGAAGATCCGATTCCATCTGGCTCGCTTCTTCACCGATTCATTAATGGCGATGATTTATTCAGAAATCAACGGTTGAAATTGGTGAATCGGATCGTGAAAGGGCCATGGATTGTTAAGAAAGCAGTAGGAAATTACAGTGCGTGTTTGTTAGGGAAGGCATTGACGTGCAATTACCACAGAGGACCTAATTATTTGGAGATTGATGTAGATATGGGGAGCTCAGCGTTAGCCAGTGCGATTTTGCATCTCGCGCTTGGATACGTTACCAACGTAACAGTAGATATGGGGTTTCTGGTGGAGGGGCAGACGGAGGAGGAGTTGCCGGAAAGGCTGTTCGGCGCCGTCCGGATTTGCCAGATGGAGATGTCGTCGGCGACTATCGTAGACGCGCCGACATTGGCGCGTGGATTATCATGTGCCAAGGTGAATCACCACAAACCTGGCGACGACGACAACTGATTCGATTCGATTAGCGGTAAAATCTCGGAGTCTTTCTCAGTTCATGAGTAATTTTTCATTCAGCCTTAAAATGATAGTTCCATAGATGGAAAATATAGAAGGTATTAGCCGTATTCACGATTGTAGATAATTATTGGCAGACAAAAATGAAAATGCTCGAGATTATTCACCTAATTGAAATTCCTCTGAAATTGAATCGGAATTATTCTGCATTCGAGATTACACGGCACAAGTTTTTTGTCTATAATCCTTTTAGGTGAGCGGGGGAATAACTTCCATGAGACGTTGAAATATGAGTATGTGTTAATTAATTGCTAGTCACTTCTATGATTACAAATGAACTGTTCACCAAGCAACTGAACAAAGTGGGGACGGCGACGGCGACGGCGACAGCCACGACGGCGATTTTCCGTCGGTGGGCTGTGTCTGGAATGGGGTTGTTGAGCTGTATTGAAACGTTAAGTTGTGGGGCTACAAACGATTTGGCCCATTAGAAGTATTTTATATTCAATAATGAATTTTAATGCTTTTCTCTTGAGAAAGTAATTTCATCTATTTGTTTGGTAGTGTTTTGATATTATGACTGTTTTCTTGTTGAATGTTAGAAGTGTTAGCTTCAAGCCGTAATAGAGGTGGCCGTGGCCCTAGTGGTGGGTAGGTTTGTGAGAAGTTCCTCCACATATTGAGTTGAGTTTACGTGTTAAAAGTTTTCGGAGCTAAGAATGGGGTGCTCAAAATCTTGTCCTAGGGTAGTCGGGTCAAGTTTGTTCCATAAACACGATAAGGGACAGGTAGTTGGGTCAAGTTTGTTCCATAAACACGATAAGGGACAGGTAGTTGGGTCGAGTTTTTTGTTCCATAAACACAATAAGGGTCGGGACGGGAAGAAGAAATAAAGTAGCTTGAACAGGACTTTGACTTCACCAAAACCCAAATTTCAAACACATTTTTAGTGTTAGTTTTATGGAATTTGTATTTGCTGATTGAATGTGACAACAAAAACCATGATTTGTATGGATCTAGGAAATGCATGCATCATATGAACTGTAGACTGTTTTTCAAAGAATTTTAGAGTATTGAGATTGGTAATGAAACTGTGAGATTTTAAAGCCTTTTGGATTTGGGTTTGGTTTCTCAATGCGCTTTAAATGAAAAAGTTGGTTTGCAGTGTGACTGTCACAGGAGGACAAGAAGTTATGGGAAGATTCTCTACTGTGAAGCCGACTTCTAAATTACAGACAGCATTGAATGCTGTATATACATATATACATACATATCTATATATATATACATATATACATACATTATGTCTTATTTCCTTAACCATAGACAAAATGATTTAATCTTTCATCTTGACTTGGATATTCTTCGAAGTTTTAATTTTATTTCGCATACATCGTTTTAGAGATGGTAAAGATTTGGTTGTAAAAAGAATTAAATCGGTAGTAAATTTGTAACAGCTCAAGAGCTCAAGTCTACCGCTAACAAATATTATCTCCTTTAACTGTATCGTCGTCAATTTCACGATTTTAAAACGTGTCCACTAGAGAGAGGTTTCCACGTCCTTATGAGGAATGCTTCGTTCCCCTCTTCAATCCTTACGTGATCTCACAAAATTAAACCATATTGTGAAGTAACACTAAATACCAAATAGTTACGAAATGAGATCGAAATTGTGATCGAGCAAGTGCAAACATAAATCGAATCAATTCGATCGGTTCGAGCAAACACACATTATGCATATGCATAACTTAGCTCTTCCTGCTCCAAGAAACTCTCAAAACCATCAGCAGTAGCTTCAATTCTTGTGATTTCCTCCATAAGAACTTCCAGCAAAAAGTGTATCTGTTGGCAACTGGGATGGGAACGATCTTCAGCAATGAAAGCATGAACCTTGTTCTTAACTTCAATCCAACTCCAACCAGGCGTTTTCTTAACTCCTCTTTCCTTCATTAACCTCTTCACCTTAGCCTTCTCCTCCCATCTCATTAGATCTCCATACATGTTTGAGAGAAGAACATAAGTGCAATGCTCTTCAGGCTCCATCTCTAGCAGATGCCTTGCAACCTGACAAGCTAACTCAACGTTCCCACAAGAACGACATGCCCCCAAGAACGTTTTCCACACCATCGCGTTCGGTTTGAATGGCATTTCCTCAATCAAGGCCTTGGCTTCATCAAGACGCCCAGAACGCCCATATAGATCAACTGCACAAGCATAATGCTCCATTCGTGGAGGAACCCCGTAATTAGATTCCATACATCGTAAGAATTCGCAGCCCCGTTCGACTAAACCGATATGGCTACAAGCGGTCAGAACTGCAACGAACGTTATGTGATCCATTTTCACCTTCTTCTCTTCCATTAGAAAGAAGAGGTCTAATGCAACATGGCATTGCCCATGTTGTGCATAGCCAAACATGAGTGCATTCCAAGTGATTGAAGAGCTTTTTGAAGCTCCTTCAAATGATCTTTTAGCATCTTCCATAATCCCACACTTTGAATACATGAAGATTAATGAACTTGAAACAAACTCATTGGAATCCAAACCATATTTAAGAGCCAACACATGAAATTGTTGTCCCAATTGAAAGGTAGCCAAATCTGAGCATGATTTGAGCACAGCAGAAAACGAATACTGATCAATATCCATTGCTAAAGATCTCATATGCAGAAACGACTTCACGGCATCTTCGCTCGACCCCATTTGTGATAATCCCGTCAAGATCGAGTTCCACGATACACGATCCTTAATCTCCAAGGATTCAAATATACATAAAGCTTCCTTCATTGAACCACTGTCTGATTTAAGATACATAGATATCAATGCATTTGAAATTGGCACTGATTGTTCTAAACCTCTTTTAATGACCATCCCATGCAGGGATTTCCCATTATTGCTAAGCTCTTTGTTGAAACAAGCACTGATAATGCTTGTGTAAGAGTACAAATCTGGTTCAAAACCATGTTCTTGCATATCAATCAAGAGTTCAAAAGCAAGATCTTCCTGATTATGCACCAAAAAAGCACCCAACAGGGAGTTCCACGACACCAAATCTCGAACGCCCGCCGAACAATCGAAAACCCTTTTGGCATCATCAAGGGATCCACATTCTGAATAAGAAGTGATCAAAGCATTACACATTGTATTAGCAGATTCCAATCCATGTTTTATGACTTTTCCATGAACTTGCCTTGTCAATCTACAAAACTCAGCATCATCTAGTAAAGGCAAAAGAGGAGCAAATGAGCCATCATTAACCTTCTCACCTTCTTGCTCCATACAATCTAACAACGAAAACGCGGTCTCGCGATCGCCCGTTTGCGCATATCCAGCAATCATTGCATTCCATGAAACAGTGTTCTGTTTAGATATATTTAGGAATGTCAAATATGCATCCTCAAGTCTCTCACATTTCGCATACATATCCAGAAGAGCACTCCCTGCATATACATCTCCAGCAAAACCCATCTTAATGATCATAGAATGTATTTGCTGACCCAAATCAAGCATACCAGCACAAGCAATGCCCTTCAGCATGCTTCCAAACGTGTACTCATCTTGATCAAAACCACATCTTCTCATGCATTTAAGAACTTCCCATGAATTCTCCAAGTTTCCAGAGTTAATATACCCCGCGATCATCGTGTTCCAAGATACAGAGTCTCTCAGCGGCATTTCGTCGAACAGTACGTCTGCAGATCGTAACTCTTTGCATTTCCAATACCCATTTAGGATATTGTTGCAAGTGTAAACGTCTGCAATGGTACCCAATTTGATGGCCAGCGAATGGGTTAACAAAAGATTGGACAAAACTCGAAACGATGTCCCAGTTACCGAGTACAATGGCCTCATTCATAGGTAGCCAAATTTTCTATTCCCAAGCAAAGAAACGGAAAGTAATTGGATCAAATTGAGAGGAATGAGGTACCTGAACGGGATATCAGCTCTTTTTCTCAAACTAGAGGACACCGGAAATAGCACATTTAACTCCTACCTGCACAGATGAAGCTTCAGTTCATAGTTGTCCCCGAAAGCAACATTCAAATATATGTTTTTCTACCGGTGGTGGGGACATGTACTAATTTTACCAACTTATTAAATTACATCAATTTTTTAAAATATTTTTTAAACATTTCAAAAATTTAAACTAAACATCTATGTGGATGAAGATGAGGAGTTGTACCCTGGAATTTGCGAGAAAAAATTGTTAGAACGTGAATGGTATGAAATTTGTTAATTCAAAATCAGGGAGAGTACTAAATTGATATAAGAAGAATTCCATTTTTGGCTCTATATTTTGGGACAGTGTCTCAATTTCTTCCAACTCTGTACCCGAAAAAATTATATGCTACTTAAGCCGTTGTGTTACTTACCTTTTACTTGTATACCATATAACAATATGCTACTTAAGCCGTTGTGTTACCTTTTACTTGTATGCAGCCGTTGTGTTACTTACCTTTTACTTGTATACCATATAACAATATGCTACTTAAGCCGTTGTGTTACCTTTTACTTGTATGCCATATAACATCGCTTTCAAATTCTCTCAATTTTTCTTTGCTCCCGTTTTCTAAAACTTTCTCTCAAATCGGAGTCAGAGACTTTAGCATTGTGACACTTTAGCATTGCAACGCAAATACAAATCGGCTTGACTCACTCACTATTGAAAAAAAGTGAGTGCCACACAATCGCAAAGTCCGGTGCACCCGTTTCCTAAAACCTTCTCAAATCGGGGTCAGAGACTTGAGCATTATTAAAATAGAATGAAATTCTATTTTGTACCCGTATGAAATGACATATTTAACCAATTCCATCTTTAAGTGTGCATATCTCAACCAGAATGCTCATCCTATCCCAAAAAGTAATTTATACATTATTGGGGAAAAGTATGCAAATCACAAAAGAAACAAAAACGATCGAACTATAAGAAGTTATAATTGAGAAAAAGGAACAAGAATCAGCCTGTCGCCTACATTATGATTTGGACTTCATATTAGGATGAATATACACCAACGGCCAGCCGCCATGAAACACAAATCATCACACGATTTCCTTCAATAATTCACGTGGGGTTCAGTTTCAGAGATTGACATGAATCTTCTACAGGTGGAGCTATCATTATACAATAACATCAAGTCAAGTCCTAAAACTTCAACCATCTTTTTTCCTTTTCTCTGCTGGTAACTGCATTTGATGCAGACGCATGAGCTGCCTCGGCCTCGGCCAAAGCTTTCCGAGTCTCGTTTAGCTTTCTTAAGGCAGCCTCGAAAACAACCTTCTCATTCTTATTTCTGTTCACCATTTCTTCAAGCTTCTCTATTCGTACTCGCAGGTCTTTCACCTCACCATCGTACGCGATTAGAGTTCGTCTATCTACCTTCTTTCCATCTGCTGAACCTTTATCTTTCTGTTTCTTAACAGATCCATCGTTCAGTGCTCCATTATGCATTGCAAGGTGGTTGTTGATAAGATTAAAGACATCAGGTCTTGAGTCTTCTTCCTCTTTAGCTGCTTGCATTGCTGCAGCAAACTTCTTGTCACGTTTCCTCTTACCGCCTCTACTTCGTTTCTTGCCATTATTCTCGTCGTTAGTATTGTTCTCCTTTTGTGATTCTAGAGCATGATCAAGAGATTGTTTTGCTGGAAGAACTTTGACAGGGATAGGATTTAGCATCCCCTGCCCAGATGCACCCAAACCCATTCCTTCTCGATAGCCCATATTAGCCATCATCTTGGAGGCGATTCCCCGGGTATGGTTCTCCCATTTTGCAAATATGGTGGTCTCCATCTGAATGCCCCTCTGCTGGGTAGAGCTTTCGAGAAATCCCAAACCCTGCAAATCGTCGTCTTCATAATCACTTGAGTCAGACTTTTCCAAGCTGGAATCACTTTCTTCTCCATCACTAATTTGAGCACGCACAGATAACGCTATGTCCTCCGGTCCAAGCTTTTGAGAGGATCCATCACCTTTAAAAACAACTTGTGCAATTTGTAGTGCATCATCCCAAGATTCAAGTTCAGCATGCCTCCAAATGCCATTCCTGGACGAGAGAGCCCAGATACTAGACCCTGTCAGTGACTGATTCCAAATTGTTGGCGCATATCTCCTAAGAGAGGTTAAAGGGATATCAACTCCTGTGCATGAAAAACTCTCTCAGATAATTGAGACTAAAAGCATAACTATTGCCTGTTAATATATACATTATACAGAAGGATAAAAACCTAATCAAAGAAACAAATGTAAAAAATCTTTCCTCCTCAAAACTCCGAATTGGTCGACGAACCTAATGGAGAATAGCAGCAAAGCTATTGACTTTAATGATATACAGAAGTATACAAATATAGTTGAGAACAGCAGCTTAGCTATTGCCTGTTCTTTTACATGGAAGGAAAAAGACCAGTCTCTAAAAAGGTGAATAAAAAACTAGGGAAAGTTCATTTTAAATAAAATGGAAACATTAAATCAAGGGGAAAGAAATATATGATCATGGTACTATTGGAACGGAGGTAAAATGCAATGCAACATGTATTTTCCAAAAATGTTTAAGGGCAAGACTACCTTGCATTACATAAGGCAGTCTTAGAATGTATCACATAGAGACAGCTGAATTGAAGGGGAGTTCTAGAAATGCGATATTCACAAACATCTGCCCAATGCATAAAAATGTGGCAATTGAATTTTCCAAGATATTAGAAAGAGAAATTGAAGACAGTTTCTCTTTGCTCCTCTTAGGTGAAATAGCTTAGTTCACAGTTCCTTGACAGTTTTTCTTCAGTGTAATCTCCATTTTCTTTAGTTCTAGGATTGGTAAACTAGTCCCCCATTACCTCTTGCATTCTTCTTTTAATAGAAACAAAACTGTTTCTAGTCTCAACGGGGAATAAGAAGTAACGAGTTGTAGAAGATCTAAGTTTTACTCACATTCTTCTATTAGGAATACAAATGATTGAAGATTCATCGACAAGAAAACCGAACAGCACCAGCATTTTTTTCATACTGGACTCTTTATGAAGGAAAACATTTTTAGTCCTAGACCTATGCAGGAACTTCACCATTATTTTCATTCTGCAGGTTCCTTTATTAAAGAGTTCATAATCCATTCTAGCATCTCAAGATAAGTATTGCTGGTGGGAACAACCATTGAAACGAGAGGAAGGCTTTACTTAATGAGTAGTTGGATCTACATGGTCCACGTGAAAGAATATGACATACCATGCGATAAGCGGCAGCTAGTGCCAAACCGACACCTTTGCTGTAAGAAGAACTTGCATATCTGCACTTTGGTGGTGTTATGGCATTAGTATCATGATGTGAGAAAAAACCATAGTGATTGCTCAATAGTTTAGTTAGGTGAATCAAAACCCAAGTCACTGCCAACACTTGATAAAACTCATCTAGTAAGTAGGCACAAACAGATCCTCGGTACTATTAAAGGGAAGAAGCTAATCGAATTCCCTCAAAAAAAAAAAAAAAAAAAAAAAAAAAAAAAAAAAAAAAAAAAAAAAAAAAAAA